CGCTTTGAGACTCCTTTGGGTAGTGATAAAGCGGGATATCAAATCCAAACTCCTCCTCCGCCTCCTTCGTCTTTTTCTTCTTCTTCTTCTTTTTCTTCTTCTTTGTCCCCATTTTATCCTCATAAAACCCTGTGCAGTAGATGATGATGATGATGATAACATTAAAAACTTCTCAATGCAGGGCTGCCGTCAGATACTGTATCTTCAGAAAGTTGTGTAGTTGTTTATCTGTTTGACATCTGACAGGAGGGCATACTACTGGGTGAGTGCCCTCTGCTGAGAAGGCCCTCTGCCTTGTTCCCTATAACTTCACCTCTCACAGTGAGGGCAACACCAGGAGGCCCTCAGAACTGGACCTCAGTGTCTAAGCTGAATGATGTGGGTGGAGACACTCCTTCAAGTTCAGCTGAGAGTGAGTGACTGGCTGTAGATCATGCAGTGAGCTCCATGGCTGAGTGGGGATTTGAACCCAGGTCTCCCAGGTGCTGCTCTATCACTCTAGCCATGACCCACACTGGCTCTCAATAAAGATCACAGTATCAAAATACAAAATGACCTTTCACTATGCACCCAGGCCTGAACTGCTGAAGACTGCAGTGGGGGAAAAGGCAATATTTATAGAACTACATTACATCCAGCCTGGGTGGTACAATGGTCTGATAAAAGACCCCCTCATATGTGGGGTTTCCCCCACCTATTGGCATCAGTAGGCTCTAAAGCATCTCCTCAGGTATCGATGTGTTAAAATAAGATGGCAGCAGTACATTATTCCAGTGGCACTAAGTCAGATGCTATAAAGAGCCTTTTATAATGAAATTTACTCTTAGCAGTGACCTTGGGTCAGCCAGGGGTAATTTAAAGAGTTGGACCATCTGACCATTCTAACTGGTAAATGGCATTAACAGCTTCTGCACAATAAATGGTCAATGACCACAGCTCACTTCATTGCCTTGTTAAATAATTACTTAAGCTGCTTTAAAAGAGCTTCAGTTGCAAAGTGTATTCTCCGTCTCCCTTGATTTATACCACACACTGAAGATTTGCAATCTTTTCAGTGACTCACATATCCGCTAAACAATATTATTTTAAGTTGTGATGACTTTTATTTCATCAAAACAATACTGTGGCCGATATCCTGACAGACTGCAGAACAAGGGTGGCAAACTCTGTTATTGATAGGAACTGCTCTAGTCCCCAGTGAGCGGTGGGAAGTGGATTCTGTCCATAAATGGACCCCATCCCAGCTGATTAGGTCATATAATAAATCAGAAGCCACTTGGAAGTAAAGGCACCCCAGTTATAAAGCAGATGCTTGCAGAATTCTTAGTCAATTCTGTTCCTATCTGTCTTCATCTGCAGTGTCTGGACCAATGTAGAAATTGGAGCTTAGTTATTCCCTGGCTTTCACAGATCCAGAATGTTCCAATGAATTCATTTCTTCAACAAATGAATGTAAAAATGAACACTTTTTTTCCTTGCTAGAGAAACACAGTACTTCATTTGAGTCCGTGCCCAGAACCTGATTTGACTGCCACAGCTCAACTCTCAGCATGTGGATATAACCACACCAAGGTTGATGATTCAGTATAATATTCTAACATGCTCGGGAACAATATTGGGTGTTTCCATAGGGCAGCCCTTTATGAACTTCTGGGAAAAAAGAGAACATGTGTTGTCAAAAGAAAGAAAGAAAGAAACAGATTTGCCTAAAACTGGCTTGTGCTAATTCACATATTTAGAAAAAAATGAATGATAGGCAATGTTAGATTGGGCTTAAGTAAACCTATTTATTTCAATAGGCCTACTATTTGATGGCTATCACTCAGTTACTATAATGGCTGGTATTTGACTAAAGTTCTACTCAGACACTTTCAAATCAATGAACACGGCTAATTTAGACCCATTGATTTCAGTGGGTTTATTGTGTAAAACTTAGTTGAATACCACCCAATGTAAATAGAAATAGTATACCTCCAACCATAGCTGGGAAGACTGTGACCAGGTGAGCTGTGTACCTGCTAGGTCTACTGTCTAAATGCTTAATGTTAGTCACAATGGTTGTTGTTGTTTAGTCGTTTAGTCGTGTCCGACTCTTCGTGACCCCATGGACCAGAGCATGCCAGGCACTTCTGTCTTCTCCATGAAGTTTTCTTGGCAGGGATACTGGAGTGGCTTGTTGGTTCCTCCTCCAGGTGGATCATGTTTGGTCAAAACTCTCCACTATGACCTGTTCATCTTGGGTGCCCTGCTTGGCATAGTTCATAGCTTCTCTGAGTTATTCAAGCCCCTTCACCATGGCAAGGCAGTGGTTCACAATGGTAGCCAGACTTAAACCCAACATCCCTTCAAAGAGAGGGTTCTTTCAAATAGAGAAGTGTCCCCTGTAAAGCAGGTCACATTTCTCTCTGGTGGATTTATAAAACTCCTCAGGGCGCAATCTACCTACTTAACCATTTCCAATGTTTGTAGAAGAGGTATTAAAAACTTACAGCCTAAGGCTGTGGATGTTTACTCAGAAGTAAGTTCCACTGTGTTCACTGAGGCTTACATCCTAGTAAATGTGCCGAGGATTTCAGCTAGGTGAGTGACCTTCTAAATTTAATGTTGATTTCTCATGTAACCATTGGAGGGTTGTGCGTGTCTAGCAGAGGACTAGTGCGTGTGTGCATTAACAAAGAACCAACTTTCTCTTTCCACAACTGTATGCTGACAACATCACTTTGCTAAGCCTGGTTGGTTTCCATTTGCATTGGACATCTCTTCTGCATATAGATTGATGAGTTTAATCAGCAAATCAGAAGAAGGACTTGGGCATCAATCAGTGTCAGTTTCCTCCCTTTCTAATTTCTGATTTGCTCCTTTTAGTTATCAATGCAATAAAGTGATGTCCCTTAAAGACCAGGCCCTGGGAGATGATGCAAGCAGTTGGGAAATGTACATCTGGCCAAACAGATGTCAAGATGGTCTTGGATTTGGGGGCAAAGCATTGGGAGAGACTTTGGCATGATGGCTTTTAAATAAATATCAGGACTCATAGCAGCGGTAGAGAACCTTTATCAGAGTTCAGCCAGGCAAAAACACTCTGTGAGATGGGGTCTGTGAGGTACAGCTCTGTGCTAAGTAGACACCAGTCCCCAGAAATCTTTGGCAGAAGCAATATGGTTTGAACATATTTTAAAGGTGTGGTGTAGATGTGTCCTTAGGCAACAGAAAAGTGGGTGGGTGCCCCAGAGGTTTAAAAATGTGCTAGAAGAAGAAGAGGAGGAGGAGGAGGAGGAGGAGGGGGAGTTTGGATTTGATATCCTGCTTTATCACTACCCCAAGGCGTCTCAAAGTGGCTAACATTCTCCTTTCCCTTCCTCCCCCACAACAAACACTCTGTGGGGTGAGTGGTGCTGAGAGACTTCAGAGAAGTGTGACTAGCCCAAGGTCACCCAGCAGCTGCATGTGGAGGAGCGGAGACGCGAACCTGGTTCACCAGATTACGAGTCTACTGCTCTTAACCACTACACCACACTGGTGTAGAGAACATTGTGAACTCAGGACTCATTACCCCTTTCTGAACCCCCTTCCAACTCTACAATATCCTTTTGGAGGTAAGTCGACAGTGTGGTGTAGTGGTTAGTGTTGGACTAGGACCTGAGAGAACAGGGTTTGAATCCCCACTCAGCCATGAAGCTCACTTAGGCCCGTCACCATCTCTTATCCTAACCTAGCTCACAGAACCATGCACACCACCTCAGAAAGTTAAGGTGGAAAATAAATGTCATAAATGGATAAATAACACTGTACACAGTATTGCAAATGTGGCTGCACCATAGATTTTTAGAGCAGCATTATGATATTGGCAGTATGGAATTGAGTGTGGTGAGGTAGAGATGGCCACAAACTGGCTCTGAAAGGGATAAGGCAAATTCATGGAGCACAAGGCTGCGACTGACTACTAGTCATGGCTAATAGTATGACTCGATTGTGCCTTGGTCAGGCCACAACAGGAATACTGTGTCCAATTCTGGGCACCACAATTTAATAAGGATATTGACAAGCTGGAACGTGTGCAGAGGAGGGCAACCCTTGGCCTGGAAACCAAGCCTTATGAGGAACAGTTGAGGGAGTTGGGTACGTTTAGCCTGGAAAAGAGGAGACTGAGAGGAAATACGATAGCCATCTTCCAGTATCTAAAAGCCTATCACATGGAAGTTGGAGCAAGCATGTTTTCTCCTGCTCTGGAGGGTAGGACTCGAACCAAAGGTTTCAAGTTACAAGAAAGGAGATTCTGACTAAACACAGGAAGAACTTTCTAACAGTAAGAGCTATTTGGCAATGGAAAGGACTCCCTCAGGAAGTTATGGACTCTTCTTCCTTGGAGGTTTTTAAGCAGAGGTTGGGTGGCCATCTGTCATGGATGCTTTAGCTGGGTGTCATGTACTGAGCTGAATCCTAGAACAATAGGATGCAGAATGCAGCAGTCTGATTGGTCCGCAGGAGCCACCCAATCCAGCTCCAGGTGGAAGTGAATCAGCGACCTGATTGGCCAGCAGGAGCAGCCAATCAGGCTGCTGGATGAAGTGAATCAGCAACCTGAATGGCCTACAGGAGCAGCCTGGAATTAGCCAATCGCGCAGGGCCCATTGTATAAATAACATGTATATAGCAGACGTTTTGGGGAAAGATTCATTCATTGCTACTACGAGCTGAATAAAGAGCACGAAATTCACACTCGACTCCAAGTATATTTCACTGAGATTCCTGCATTGCATGGGGTTGGATTAGATGACTCTTGGGGGTCCCTTCCAACTCAAAGATTCTGTGATTCTATGTGCTACTTCCAGGATCAGAAGCAGCGTGGTTTGGAATAACAGCTGCTGCGTATAACAGCGTGTACGTTGAACAGCGTAGAAACGTAGGAAGCTGCCTTAGACTAAGTTTATGTGGTGCAGTACCTTCAACAATGACTGACAGCAGCTCTCCAGGGGACAGGGCTCTCTCTCTGCCCTACCTGGAGATATCGGGGATTGAACCCGGGACCTTCTGCGTGAAAAGCAGATGCTGCTCCACAGAGCTCCAGTCCTTCCCCAGTGTGAGAAGGTTATTTGTCTCTTCCTTTTGGGCTTCCCAGTGAGAATAGGATTCTGGACTACACAGGCCTTTGGTCTCATCCAGCAGAGCGCTTATGTTCGCATCGCAGAAGTGCCCTCGCCAAAGGAAGCCCGCACTTCCCCACTCCTCCCTCATTCCCCTTATAATAAGCCTGTCCTTCATCTCCCGCTAATTACCAAGCTTCTGCTAATTACTTCAGCTGGATGAAAGGTGCTTAAGACACCGGAGAACGGCCGTTCCCACCGCGAGCCGGACTTTAACCGTGCGGCGCCTTGAAATACACACACACACATACACACACACAAAAGGAAGCTTCGCCTCGGAGACGAACCCGTGTCCTTTCCAAGCTCAAGTTCATGTGGGCTCGCCTCGCCTGGACTCCTATTTACAATTAGCCATAATTCAAAAGAGACAGTTGTCCCAGAATCTGACTATGCAGGAGCACCTGATCACGCTAATGCAGAAGCCAAGGAGCTCTCCAGAGACCCACATGCTGCTTTCACACCTCTCCGATTAGTGACTGAAGCCAGGCCCTTTTGCTTGTGATAGATTAATCAAACCTTCCTTCAGCCTCTAATTGGATGACAATCAGTATCTCAGGGTATGCTGAATGGGGGAAGTCAGGGGAGGGAATTCTCTTCCCATTACATTTTACATGTGCCTTTCAGTTCTGTCCTACCTGTCCTTTTTTTTTTTTTTTAAGCCCTTTAAAAAAAAATATATGATGCATTTACTTTGTTACTTTCTCCTTTTTAAATGAGTTGCGTATTTCTAGCCAGCATCGCTAACTGCCATCCGTCTCCCACCAAAGGCATCGTCTTCCTCCCTTATTAGACTGGCACGCTCAACAAAGTAATAGGGAATCGGATGGTGTCAGCACTCCCAGTAAAAATGGAAGGAGTCTTTTTCATATGTAGATAAAGATAGATATGGAAAAGACTCCTTCAGTTTTTTTACTGGGAGGTGAGATCTGTGTGTGTGTGTGTGTGTGAAGGGTTAGCAACAATGGAACACTTTATAGCCTCAATATTGTACCTCTGGGGAAGAGCCATAATGTTAGAGCGTCTGCTTTGCATCCAGAATGTCCCAGGTTCAATCCCTGGCATCTCTGGGTGGATTGGGAGGCAGCCCTGTCTGGATCCTGGAGAGCCTCTGCCAGCCAGTGTAGACAATGCTAAGCTAGATGGACGAATGGTCTGTCTGGCTCAGTGTAAGATAGCTTTCTGTATTTCTGGTGTTGCTCACTGCTCCTGGGCACGCATGGAGTACAGTGGTACCTCGGGTTACAGACGCTTCAGGTTACAGATTCTGCTAACCCAGAAATAGTACTTCAGGTTAAGAACTTTACCCCAGGATGAGAACAGAAATCGCACGGCAGCAGTGGGAGGCCCCATTAGCTAAAGTGGTACCTCAGGTTAAGAACAGTTTCAGGTTAAGAACGGACCTCCAGAACGAATTAAGTTCTGTACTTGTCCATAAGTAAGGCCTTTCCAATTAACCACCGATGATAGGGACAGCATTTCCTCATTTTCAGAAGTGTCCTTGACATGAAAGTGAATGGAGAAGAACTTGTTACATAAGGTAAAAAGGTAAAGGTAAAGGACCCCTGGACAGTTAAGTCCAGTCAAAGGTGACTATGGGGTTGCAGTGCTCATCTCGCTTTCAGGCCGAGGGAGCCGGCGTTTGTCCACAGACAGCTTTCCGGGTCATGTGGCCAGCATGACAAACCACTTTTGGTGCAATGAAACACCGTGACAGAAACCAGAGCTCACAGAAACACTGTTTACTTTGCTGCAGCAACGGTATTCGAACCGCCGACCTTCTGATTGGCAAGCCTAAGAGGCTCAGTGGTTTAGACCAAAGCGCCACTCGCAACCGAGTATAGACCAATACATCCATTTCAATTCTTCCAAGTTTGAAACTTCCCAGTCTTAAATTCAGTTCTGCACTTTTCCGAAACCATTTCACGCAACTTTGTCAGCGTTTTAGTGCAAATTTCTACCCGCAACACTAACAGTGTGGGAGTTGCACTGCGAAAGCTGTTAGGGTCCCTCAAACTGGTGTTTTGGGGCAGGCACCTTTTGGAATATATCACTGACTAATAGAGCATCATTAGTGGTGGATTGATACTGGACTGTCCACACATCATTCATCTTTATTAGTTGTTCTGTGATATTTTTTTTCCAGTGTTTTCACATTATTTGCCCAAACAAACCCAGGACAGTTGCACTACAGTGCAAGTAACAGGATTTCAGCAGAATGTTATGGGGCATGCACTGATTGGAAATGAAGCAATATGTCCTTCCCAAAACATTTGCAATTGCAAACAATATTAAAAACAGGATTATGTGTCGTATAGCCTCCTGAGCGCAAATCATGAATGCCCCAGAAAAGAACCTTTATGGGGCCCATATTGCCTACTTCCCTGCTCAATATTCAAACCACTTAGAGTCTGCCCATGATAAGCACTTTCTGGCAGGACACGGGATACCAACCTGTGTTGATTCTGGCTTTCGTTCTAAACAAATGTTCATCTATTGGCTAGACAACCCTGCTGCTAATTAGATCACAACGGCGCTGGTAGTTCCTCGTTCCACTTCTTTTCCTTTCTTCACATTGGGCATGTAACCATTCCAAGGTCTGTGGGAAAAAGATGGGAGATGAGGGAGAGAGAGAGAGAGGTAGGCCTGTCAAATCAATTCCTTAAGCATTTCGTATCTGTGAAGATGGCGTCTTCTCTAACTTGGCAAAATTGCGTTTTCAATCTTTTTTCTGTCCTAAAAGAAGAGTGGCCAAAAATGCCAGATTTTAAAAACAAAAACAAAAAAAAGCATAGAAAAGTCCATTACAGTTGCAGGCTCCCAATAATCTGTCATTTTTGATTGCCTCCGATGAAATTACGGGGAGCTGATTCGCACATTGATTGAATTGTTTGGCTTGTGGAAGCGTCCTAGGTGCCTCACACTTGTGATTGCCTGCAATTAAAATAACATTTAAGGTGGAATTGCAGATCACGGCCGTCATGTGATGGGGATGCTCCAGAGGTCACTGTCAAGATCACGCTCCCTGCTGTGGCTAAGATCTGTGCATCAAGTTCCCCCGTAACTGTAGAACAAGCAGTTCCTCGGACGATGTCTTTCTGACTCTATTTGCAGAGGAGTAACCATGTTAGTCTGGTGAGCATGTTCGATCGCATTTCCAGAGGTGTGGACCACGTTAGACTTTTGCAGCAAAACCAGCGAAGAGTATTATGGCTAACAAATGTATTGTGGCATCAGCTTTTGTGGACTTCATCAGATTCGCATTGTTGTTTACTGGTTTCCCACAGGCACCTGGTTAGCCCCTGTGAGAACAGGGGGCTAGGCTAGATGGGCCATTGGCCTGATCCAGCAGGCTAATGTTCTTATGCCCCATTGGAGGTATATATGTGCATGTGGATGCAAAATGTGTGTGTGTGTGTAAAAGTTAGTGTTTAACAACAATGAAATCCAAAAAGTAGATATGTGACCATTCGTCTGCAGCTTAAATGCATGCAGCATAAACACAGTGACCTATCGAAACATCACTAATCCATATTAATACTAATCTTAGCATTGCTGAATAAATTAAAAGCAGGGTAGTGGGACAGGAAATTATCTCTATTCAGACCTAAATGAACAGGGCAGGATTTCTTGAGAAGCTTTAATTCAGCATGTCCCTTTGAAGTTCCTCCATTTGAGGAAGCGATACCTTTTTTCAATATGTAATACTGATGCAAAGCTGTATTCTCCTCCCCTTTTATCAAGTCCATTTTGAAGCCATGGAGCTCCCTCCCTTTCTGTTCCTTGTTCTTGCTGGCTGATGGATCTCCCCGAGCCTAGCTGCCATTTTGTGACTCGCCACTGTTGAGAATGCATGCACACACATTTGAAGCACATTTCCACCCATCACCACCCCGCAAAGCATCCTGGGAACTGTAGTTTGTAAAGATTGTTGGGCATTGTAGCTCTGTGAGGGGTAAACTACAGTCTAGGGCATACCTTTTGGGGGGGATGTGCTTTAAATGTATGTTGCATATATAACCTCAGTCTCCACCACTGCTGCTCCACGACCTTCTGCAGACCCTCCTGTTGTCATATGTCCCCCCCCCAAAAAAAGTTGCAGCAGCTTCTTTCCCCTCAGTGGTCAAATCATACCCCACTTCTCCTCTCCCACTGACTTAACTGCCCTCCAACTGACACTTGCCCAATGATGTGATCCCTGAGGCAACAGTTGCCAAGCCTGTCACTCCTTACAATTTTACTCATTCTCTGTTTTCCCCAGGCGAATGGCCTTATGAAACATATTAAAACAACAGCAGGAACATTAGACATTAAAAAAAAAACAACCCACATGAATAGATAGATCATCTGCCGCATTGCTTTTGTCCCTAGGCGTTCCTCACCTAGTGTGGCACCTTTGCCATAAAGAGGAAGGGACAGCCATCGTGACACCCTGGCTCTCTTAGGAACGGAGGAAGTTGTATTGTATTGAGTCAGGCCATTGGTCCACCTAATTCTGTATGGTCAACACTGACCAGCAATGGCTCCTTACAATTTCAGACAAGGCTTTCTCCCAGCCCTACCCAGAAATGCCAGATATTAGTGGCTTGGCGGCTGCTATTGTTGGTAGGAATGCTGGTTGTTTGCTGTGCCTTCTGCCCTGTGTGGGGCACCTGCTGGGCTCTGGGGCTACTGAGCTCCATTCCCTGACCCCATTATAGTGCCCCTAAGCCACCTTGCCTGGCTCCTCCTTGCGGCACATCTGGCTGTGCGGTGCGATATTCCAGGCACCAGGGTTTGTGTTTCCTTTGGAATGAGGGACAGCAGAGATGATGGTGTCTTTATGATATATGGTTTATTTACACAAATTTACTACCTGAGCCTACAGTGGAGGGGCTCACAGCATTAACACCCCCAAGAGGGTCTTACTTCTCCCATAGCCACAACCTTGTGTTCCAACAGAAATCAGGCATAGCTCTGTCTCCCAGCTGCCCAGCCTGCAGACTGCCAGGTTCCAGCTCACATAATTCAACACTCTGCTCTGCCCATTGTCTTTCTAACTACCAGCAAGTCAAGGGAGGAAGGTCAGCACATTTGTAGTCTGGCACAGAGCCATTTCCTTTGTTTCCTTAATGGCCCATACTTAGAGGGCCATTACTTCAACCAGGAGGCTAGCCTGGCTATTCCAAGAAATGAATCTGCACTGGATCCAGGAATTAGAAGGGGGTTCAAGCATGCAGCCTACCCTACCACCAAACTCATAATACTAATATAGGAAGGTGCTTTATACTGACTCAGGCTATTGGCCCATCTAACTTAGTATTGTCTACACTGACTGGAAGCAGCTCTCCAGGGGTTCAGACCAGGGTCTCTCCCTGCTCTACTTGGAGATGTGGGACATTGAACCTGAGACCTTCTGCATGCAAAGCAGATGCTCTACCACTTAGTCATGGCGCTTCCTGAACCAGGCTTCTGAGTCCCTTGCGGCTCATTCCATCCTTCTCTTTCCTTCTGCTTTCAACTCTCCTCCTCTCCCTGCTGCATTTCCTGCCCAAAGGCTGCACCCCCTCCATGAATCAGTCTCTCTATGGAATCCAGCTGGCTGTTAGATGGGTTAGTGCCCACATGTGAACGGGCCTTTTCTGTGGTGGCTCCCCAATTGTGGAAGGCTCTCCCCAGAGAGGCTCGCCTGGCGCCATCATTACATGTCTTTAGGCACCAGGCAAAAGCATTCCTCTTTGCCCAGGACTATGGCTAGTAAATAATCTATGGTCTGTGAGAGTGTGGGGACTGTTATTATGATGACTATTTTAATATTAGGCTGTCCATCAGTTTGCTTTCTATTAGGTTTTAATATGGTTTTATCATTGATGTCCTGTAGTGTTTTTAGTGTTGTACACTGCCCTGGGATCTTCTGATAAAGGGAGGTACATACTACTACT